AGTATTTTAGACATTTAGAAAAAGAATTCATTACAGCTAAAAGTTGTATTTTTGTGTAAGACGCAAATAACAAACTGAAAAGATGTTTTTACTAATCTGAGAAACAAATGAACCAGGAACAAAATTCAACAGTGAAACTGATTTTCTGTTCAGGCTTAAAGTAGATCAGTGAGACTCGGAGTTTTAATAACAATGATATCAAAATGTTTGAATAAAGAATGTGAGTCAGTGTCAGAGTCACGGACGACACCGGGCTGCGACCCCTCTGTCACTCTTTTTTTTCTTCACATTGTTCAGTCATTAGTGGATAAAGCCCACAGTGCGTGTTGTTCCACATTTCCACAATTTCCCGTTCATAAAGTGAGAAGTTGGTGTCTTATTATCTTCGCATTTCCGCTGATCTTACTTCAGTTTTACAGCTTAATGAAAGTCGATCCTTTGTGTTCCTGTGCGCACGGACACGCGGGTTTGGGTGTCATGTCAATAAAGCTAAATGGATTTGAAAAGGAGGTGTGGAGAGAGGTGGAGGAGGTGTGGGTGGAGGAGGTGTGGACTTCCCCGCTCCGAGCTCGGAGCCGTCATTCAGCTGCAGGACGCTCTGGAGATCAGTCTCTGCTGTACCTGCTGCTCATGGAGGAGTCCGTTCACGCACTTCACGCACACTCTGAGTACCCGAGTTAGGATCGAACCGCGGACATGAAGCTTCTCTGCGGAGGAGGAGCGGCGCTGCTGCTGCTGCTGCTCGGCCGCTGCTGCTGCACCACTCCCGACAGGAGAGGTAGGAACCGGGGACGTTGCTCCGGGGTGGGTTAAAAAGTTGGTGTGTCCCCGCTGAGGGCACCGCTGCGGCTCAGCCGCTCCTCGGGCGTCGGGATCACACATGTGACCTGGGGTCTCAGAGCTCGTGTAAAAGTACAGAAACTGGAGCAAAGTGGTTTCAGAGTCAGAGAGACAGCCTGCAGAAATGATCATTACAGCTGATTCAGGATCAGAATCCGGGACAGTATTCCACAGAGGAAAACACGCGTGTTCGAACATCAGAGTCACGACTCAGATCTATACGCGGTCTTAAATGCTTAAATGTTAAACTTTTAAAGTTACTGTACATGCTGGGGAAGTGACTTTTTCCTCCGTGATATCAAATGAATGTAACATCAGAGTGATTCCGCCGATCGGATCCCTCACAGGAGGAAGTACGAGCCTCTAAATTGGAGTTAACTGGAATTAACAGGTCAGACTGCTCTGCGGGTTCAGACACAGCCGAGGAGGCTCCGCTTCTCCCCGGGAGGTGCTTCCGCCACTCACAGGAGGCCCGCGGGCAGATTACATCTCACAGAGGGGTCGGAGGGATGTGACCCGGGAGAGGGAGGGAGGAGGACGGATACAGAAATGAAAGAAGTGTGAGAGGAATGTTTGCACCGAAACCGGAATCAAAATAAAAGCAGAGCGAATAAACACAGTTAAAACAGATGCATGAAGAAGCTCGAACAGACACAAATGTGCCTTTAAAGGTGACCGTGTGCGGACAGCAGGTCACTCTGCTGTCCACTCAGCTCCGCGGGTGAGCGTCGAGGACTGATCGCAGGTTTAACACACCTGTAATAAACAGTAAAAAGTGAATGTCAGAGGCGGTGTGTCTGAGCCAGAGATGGAGCCATGCGTGGAGAAAGTTTGTGGAAGCTCGCGGCTGAAGACTCACACACACTGACGCTCATCGCCAATTAAAGCTTCATTTCCTCTCGTGTTTGCTTTGCATCTGAGCCAAAGCTCGCGTCTCCCCCACAGAGAACATGCGTCTCCCAAACAGCACAGGGACATCAGAGTGCAGTTCATCTGTGATACTCCTAATAATGAGACACGTGACATGCGAGAGGCTGACGTGTTTTAAATGATAGGCTTTAAGTGAAAGGTGGAAAATGTTGCAGCGTGAGGATCTCAGCTCCACAGCTGCATTTGTGTAATACCTGCGTTTCTGTGAGCAGTGCGATTAGTCTGTCTGCATGACTCACAATGCATACAAGCATCAGGCTGAATGAAAGTTTGCAGAAAGGTGGAGCAAAGAAGAAGCCCATGT